GCTCCGTTTCCGTCCCTGTCTAGCCAACGCCCTCGTAATAGGGCTCCATTTCCGTCCCTCTCTCGCCTCCGTCCTCATACTAGGGCTCCGTAACAACAAAGGATGACGCACGCAATCCTTTCCTTCGAGACTCCCGATTCGCAATCTCTTCCTCGCCCTCTCGATAATTTGTGACCGACTCGATTCGTACACGAACGACACGCGTACGTCTGATTCAACGTACCTCATATCGACTGAACATATAGATTTGTAAGCGCCTGTTAGCCGAGATTTAAGATGAAACGTCCATGTGGTCCATGTGATATTTATTAAAATAAAAGTTCATGCACTGCGATTATTCACATAAACTAGGCTTCAATACACATACGCGTTTTAGCACAAATAAATAAATCTGTCGCGAATCAAATCAAATATAACATCTCAAGTTAGTGGGACGCAACAGAAACTTCACTGGATTCGGATTTATGTGAACAGAAAAATGTAAAGGAATGGAAAATTTAAGACGATAGTTCCTTCACGACTGCTCTCTGATAATTCCCAGAACAAAATACTGTCGATGCCTAAACGCAGCTTCACATCAGAAAAAGAAAGAATACATCCTGTCAAGAATTTGTGTGAGAAAAAGAGAGGAATATAGAGCTTGTAACTTGGAAGGCGCGAGTTGAGTGTTACCAGATGCCCAGGCGTCCGAGGCAGAACGCTTTTGTTAATGGATCAGAACTTCGACTCGATTAGGACAAAAAACTGCTGGAACAGTTTCTAGTCGACTCTTGATGAGACAACATCGCAAGTGCGTCGCGAATAGGAGTACGACGTAAAAATTTCAAGTTTTCGGGCAAACCGTTGTGCGCGTAGTGTGTGGTGTGAATGTGACTGTGTGTTTCGTGTTATGTGTGTGTGCATGTGACACATAGACACCAGAGTTCTGCACAGATCGGGCCGGCGGCCCGTTTCTCCTTCCACTAAGTGCCACGTGGGCTTTGCGATAACGAGAAATATGATACTTTGGCCCGTTCGGCCCGTACCGGCCCGTTCGGCCCTTGACCGTCCGGTCGGCCCGTGCTACGAGCCGACGGGGGAGCCGAACCCAAGGCTATAGTGCGTTCGTGATTACTTATCGAACGCCGCGTGGTCTAGTCGCCGCGCACCTCATTCAATTTATTACACGATTGCTGTATTTACTTTATGTATATTAATTGTGTACAATATTACAGGATTTTAAATATGAAATTACAACGAAATATGACATATTTATGTACATAATAAATTGAAAACATGAACGGCTTTACAAGCGTTGTGTTAATTCCAATATATATTCTGATGATTATTTTCCATTATTTTCTACATTACTTGAAACGTACGAAAATTGTTCTTCAAGCATGTAACTAATCATACATGGAACGCGTTATACATACTCTTTCCGAAATTATAATAATAACGCAGGAAATGAAATTAAAGGAAATGTAATGAAGGAAATTTCGGAATACTTTATATACGAGTGTATTTATCTTACATGTGTTTTCATGCAGAATATATATGTACAAGCAGTGACGGAACAAGACCAATATCAAACCCTTGAAGATGAGGAGGAAATCGTTTACAACGCAATGCTTTATTGCGTCTATGCTACTGTAAAGTACGTCAGCATCTGCATGTTGTACATATTGTAAATAGTGCGCATATATCAAAAGCGCTCACTGCTTGTAAACCCGTTCATGTTTTCAATTTATTATGTTCATATTATGTGCATAAATATATCACATTTTGTTGTAATTTCATATTTAAAATCCTGTAATATTGTACACAATTAATATACATAAAGTAAATACAGCAATCGTGTAATAAATTGAATGAGGTGCGCGGCGACTAGACCACGCGGCGTTCGACAAGTAACCGCGAACGCACTATAGCCTTGGCGAGCCTTGGGTTCGGCTCCCGTCTGCTCGTAGCAGTCGTAGCACGGGCCGACCGGACGGTCAAGGGCCGAACGGGCCGACACGGGCCGAACGGGCCAAAGTATCATATTTCTCGTTATCACAAAGCCCACGCGGCCCTTATTGGAGGGAGAAACGGGCCGCCGGCCCGGTCCGTGCAGAACTCTGATAGACACTCGCGGTGCATGTGTATTCTTGTGGATATTTCTTTTTGTTGCGAAGAAAAGAGCATTCACCCTCCTGACTCGAAAATCCCATAGAGCGTGTTTCGATGTGCTCTTGTGGATTTAGCGAGTAATCAGGTTGAATGCAAGGCACATCATTTAAAATAATTTGCGTCCTCCACTCGTCACCCGAGGTAAGCCCACAAATTATAAGTACGGTCCTGTTCATCGTTATCGACATGCATTGACCGACGACGATCAGCTGCACGTACAGTAAAAACACCCGCCGGTACAAGTCGGATTGTTCTATTTCAGGGGCAGAAACGCCAAATCTTTAAACGTTAATAACTAATTAACGAAGCCCCAAACGCAATTTTCTCTCTCTTCATTTTCGTCTTATTTTTGATCATAGAACACGTCCTTAAAATATTGCCCACCTGTAGGTTTACACCCTATACATTGCATTTCTGTTTTATAATTGTACACATTGCATACAGTAATATGCAATCATGCAAAGGTATGTAGTATGTACGCAAATGTATGTATGTACCATGGATCTGAAGGACGGAGTATAAACTGCTTTTATTGATGAAGGTGGTGAACAATCAAGTCGGCCACTTTCTAGGAGCGATAAGTGGCGCCGCCTGTCTGTAAGACTTATACAAATCTTGCGCGCGCTAAAGCCAGCGTGTATCACGGTTATGTACATATATAAATGTGCGTACGTGTGGAAGTTTGCTAATAGACCAGGCAATGCCAGGCATGGTCAAAAGTGTCGCGCATGCGACACGATCTTCAGCGGGAGCCTAGGTGGGGATACGTTAAGTAGTGTGAGCGCATTATGATCCGCTGCGTTACTATGACTATGGCACGAGGTGGGGAAAGCTATTGAAGTAAGAAGAAATGAGTTGGACATACCTGTTCTAGACGCTAGTGATGCTAATATGGCCGTTATCATGAAGATACGCGAACGCAGGTGTGGACACTACATGAAGAGAACGCCACTAGTCGCTCCTAGAAAATGGCTGACATCTCGGATACCCCTTCCGTTTTCCATCACAAAATACCGCAGGCCATGCTCTGTCCTTCAGGTCCATGGACCTAAAGGACGGTGCATAATCCCAAAAGCGGAAGGGGAAAACAGCTCTGTTTGAGCCCACAAGTGCTGCCCCCAGTGTGATCCTGCCGGATTTTGAACATACTTATTCGCTTTATCTTCCATTAAAAGTAAGAAAAGAAGGATAGGAATAAGTTAATAAAAATAGGAACAATATTTTGTAAAATAAGAATTTTAATCAATTCTCTTATGAGCACCGAAGCACAATTTAATTGATCATCAGGATCATCACGAATCAGCTGCAGGTTCTTCTGTCACTGTTTCAAATTGCTCCATGTATTCTACGTCTCCTTCCCTTTGTAATATTAATTTCTCTGCTTTCGATAGTACATTAATTCCAACCAACTTAGGCACCGCGTGCGTATTGATTCATTATTCCTCCTTCCCAACACTGGATCTTCTGGATATGCTTCTGTAAAAATGAAAAACGGTCTTAGAATTGTACGTGTTTAATTAAATTACGTATAATTACGTACGTGTAAATTAAAAACGGTTTTGAAATTGTAAGTGTCAAGCAATGAGAGAATAAAGCTTGTATTACCGACGTACTTACAGATGTTGATTCATTATTTCTCCTTCCCGACACAGGATCCTCTCCATATGCTCCTGTAAGAATTAAAATTGGTCTTAGAATTGTACGTGTAAAGGAATGAGATAATAAATCTTGTATTATCGACATACTTACCGGTGTTGATTCATTATTCCTCCATGCTGGCACTGGATCCTCTGCATAAAAATTAAATACGGTTTTACAATTATAACGAGAGAGCACGGAAAGAATGAAATCTGTGTTATCGACGTACTTATAGGTGTTGATTCATTATTGTTCCTTCCCGACACTGGATCCTCTCCATATACTTCTGTAAAAATTAAAAACGGTCTTAGAATCGTACGTGTAAAGTAATGAGAGAATAAAGCTTGTATTATCGACGTACTTACAGGTCTTGATTCATTACTGCTCCTTCCCGACACTGAATCCTCTCCATATGCTACTGTAAGAATTAAAATTGGTCTTACAATTGTACGTGTAAAGCCTTAGAGCATAAACTACGTCTATTAACGGTATACCTTTATGTTGTACGTTCACATCTTCATTGTGCATTTGTTTTCGAAATTGTTCAGCATATATATAATCTTTTCAAAGTAAGCCCTTTGGTAAGTAACCTAGCGATTATCTTCCGATTTCTTCTCTATGTGATAATATGCTCTTCCATTTATATATATGTTCCTAAAAATATAATGTAACACGTCATGTTATGCATCTCACAATTATTGTTTTGAAAAGTCATTACTTCATTACGATTGTCTCATGAAATATCATGACGGCACTGACAATTCACATATTCAACATGCATGTTCCAGGCGAATCAGACGAATAAGCATGTTCAAAATCAAGCGGGACCGCACTGAAGGCACCACTTGTGGGCTCAAACAGAGCTGTTTTCCCCTCATGCCTTTGGGAGCCTTTCCCCTCGCCCATAATCCCACTTTAGGCACCGTCCTTTAAGTCCATGTACTATCGTAGGCTCTGTTCAGGATGACTTCTGTCACGGAATCATTAAATCTAATATGACGCGTAATCGTCGTCGGAAGCCACACTGTCGTACAGCGGTTCATCATCCGTGTTTATCTTGCTGCTTTTTACGAAGCATAGAGACAGCTGGGTCTGAGATACATATATCAGTATCCGTTGTAGAGCATGCAAGTAAACAACGTGTATACAATACACACATTCCAGTGGCGCATTATTCGCGAGCATATGTCTTGCGAGCCTCGATGAGAATATTTATGATGAGCGTAACAAACTCTTTTGGTATAACGTGATATACAATAAAGCGTCGATCAATGCAAGTATTTACCCGTATATTCTATCGTAATATCTATGAGAAGACAATACTTACTTTCCTCATTTTCTCGATAGTCTATTTCATCGTGAACGTCCATTGCCAATTCTTCCAACAAGTGATTCGACAACTGAACAAGGAAAGAAAGATTATACGCGTTTCTAATTCTTAATCACTCTGTTACAATAAACACAATCAGGAATAAGAATATACTATGATATATGACTTGACTTAAGTGAACATATGTAATATATCATTACTAACATATCAGCCTGTTTATTACTTTGTACATGCACTCAGTTATCCGTTCGCATAGCTCGACGTGATCTGCATCGTACTTTTTAATCTATTCTATCAAAATGAATGCATACTTTGCAGCTTCGGCAGATGTTTGTCCATTTGAATCGATTATGCTAAGATTTCCACCGTTAGCATTAGAAGCTCTATATACATGCAGTGCTTGACCTATCTTTCCAACTACGTGTAAAGTCCAACTTCCCTATTAGTCCAGGAGGCAGCGACATAAATTTTTCACCAATTTCTATAAAGTTAACTTTTCTCTCAGTCAATGTTTATACAAAATTAATCACGAAAAGTATAGTCTATCAAGCTGTTAGCGTTGCCGACATTTGCAACAATTTTCTTAAAATGTGAATAAATATTATATAAATGCCTTATATCTACAAGAGTGAAACTTTTTACAGTAATTAAATATAGCTAAAAATGAAGTATAGTGATAATCTACCGAGTTGGAAGCGTTGCTAACACAAGTCTAGGGCCCACACAAAATGTATAAAAAATTGATGAACTGAACTTATTTTTATAAGGCTGAAATTTTTTTTCTTCAAACTTGATGTCATAAACTAAAAAAAATTGGTCTACCGATCGCGTGATGTTGCTAAGGTCTCTGTAGACATGCTGGAAGGTACAATCTCCCGAGCGTAGCCGCTGCTCCGCTTTGCTACGTTCGTTACGTATGAAACTTTCGAGGAGCCAAGCCATGTACGTATTGGAGATGGCCAACTTATCCAGGCATATGGTAAAGACAGCATCAACATGAACATGTTCAAGGGGCAGACATGGAACAGAAATCATCTCACAGATGTTCTTTATGTTCCAGATTTAAAGTACAACTTATTTTCAGTCGGCAAATCTCTCGACAAAGGGTTTAGATTGTGGTCAAACAGTTCGACTTGCAAAATCCAGATGAGAGGCAACACACTGGCAGTGGGAGTCAGAAAAGAAAGTCTCTATGAAATGCAGTTCAGGGTTACTGAGCCAGTGGGAGCAGACAAGGCGCCAAGTTCGGCACTAGTTAACACGGCCTTGTCGTCACTGAATGTCTGGCATGAGAGGTTAATACATCAACACTATGGACACGTCAAGCAGGTGTTAAATCATTTCAACATTCAAGTGAAGGACGATGACACTCCTCTATGTGAATCCTGTGGCATGGACAAGATGCACCGATCGCCGTTTCCCGTAAGCGACACCCAAACAACAAGAATTGGGGAGTTCATTCATTCTGACCTATGCGGGCCGATGGCGGTTCCCTCATTGGGAGGAGCTAGATATTTTCTATTGCTTCGTGACGACTATTCGCGCTTCAAGTGTGTTTACTTTTTGAGATGCAAGACCGACGTTGAGCACTACCTGAAAAAATTTCCTCAAAAAGGCCGAAAAGCACTGTCCCGACGGTGCGAAAACACTGCAAACGGATAACGGCCTCGAATACGTCAATCAGAAGGTCAATGAAGTCACGCATGATTACGGTATAAGGCATCAACGTACAGTCGCTTACAGCCCGGAGCAAAACGGCGCCGTCGAGCGAGACAATAGAACAATTGTCGAGGCAGCGAGGACAGTCCTTCACGCAGCACGCCTAGAGACTAAGTTGTGGGCCGAGGCGATAAATACTGTAGTTTACGTATTAAACGCTACAAGCAAAAGTAGTCGGGAATCATACACGCCATTTGAAATATGGCATCATCCCAAACCCAACATAGAGCGTCTCCACACGTTTGGTGAGAGAGTATTCACGTAAAGAAAAGAGGCGAAAACTCGACTTCAAAGCTCAGAAAGGTTACCTAGTTGGCTACGAACAAGACACGAAGGGCTATAGAATTTGGTATCCAGAGGACGAGAAAGTCGGAATATCAAGAGGTATAATCTTCTCTGGAGAGGTCGGGATGCCTGACAATACCGAGAAAGGCCATGAAAGTCATCACAATGAGGACTAGATAACTGTAGATCTTGAGCCTCAGCAGGAACAAACCCAACGAGAACAACAGCATCAGCGGGACCATGTAGAACCGCAGATTGAGGTGACAGAGCATGAGAATGAAGTCGTTGAGCAGACTGAGGAAAATTCCGACGATGTAGCGGATCCAGCGATAGAACACGTCGAGCAAGGCCGCGAGCTCCACAACAAATCGCACTTGCGTCCTCCGAAAAGGTATAGAGAGTTTAATATCGACGAACTTTTCCTTGCAGAAGTAGATGAGCCTGCTTCGTATCGAGAAGCAATTGATGGTAAAGATGCTAAGAAATGGGTAGCAGCGATGGACGAAGACTACCAGACAATGCTAAAGAATCAAGTGTGGGAGCTCACACAAGCACCAGCGGGTCAAAATGTAATTGACAGCAGATGGACATACAAGGTGAAGCTCGACCCTAATGGAAATATCGACCGATACAAAGCACGGTTAGTCGCATGTGGCTTCGGTCAATGAAAAGATGTGGACTATCAAGACATCTTTAGTCCTGTCGTGCGCTATGACTCCACCCGAGTTGCCTTGAGCATCGCGGCACAAGACGGTATGCACGTCCGCCAATTCGATGTCAAAACCGCTTTCCTAAACGGTCACATCGAAGAGAAAATATACATGCAACAACTGCGAGGTTACAATGATGGAACCAGAAGAGTGTGTAGGCTCCTACGCAGCCTATATGGGCTGAAGCAATCGTCACGCTGCTGGAACCAGCACTTCGCCGACTTGTTAAAGACATTCGGTTTAGAGGCAACGTCGGCGGACCTCTGTGTGTTCGTAAATCACAAGGCGAGGCAGACACTCATTCTTCTGATTTACATAGACGACGGACTATTATTATCAAAGCAAATACGTTTTTAGGAATGCAGATAGATCGGCTTGATGACGGATCCTTTTTTCTGCACCAATGGGTCTACGCCACGAAGATCCTGAGTAGGTTTAGGATGGGAAGTGCTAAATCCAGTGTGCATTCCAACAGATCCGAATCACGACCTGGCCTCGTCAATCCATCTAAACCAAGACTCGGAACTCACAAACGCGCCATACAGGGAGACCGTGGGGAGCTTGCAGTACCTCTGCACGGCAACGAGACCAAACCTCATGTTCTCCGTGAACCTTGTTAGCCGATACCAGGAAAAACCTACGAAGTTGCACTGGAACGCCATCAAACGCATCCTGAAGTACCTCAAAGGCACAATCAGCTATGGTCTGTACTTTCCAAGCAAACAAGACAAGCGTCTGCTGGTGTACAGTGATTCAGATTATGCCGGTGACGTTGAGACCAGGCGTTCAACAACTGGATATGTCTCAAACTTAGGACAGTCGGCAATTTCCTGGAACACGCAAAGGCAGGCATGTACAGCCCTGTCTACCACTGACACCGAATACACGGAAGCAAGTCAGGCCGCTAAGGAAATTGTTTGGCTGAAAAGATTGTTGCAGGATATCGTGGGTACAGCTAAGATACCAGCAACACTATTCATGGATAATCAAAGTGCAATTCAATTGGTCAAAAATCCATGCTTTCATAAACGGACCAAGCACATAGATGTGCGTTTTCATTTTATACGAGAAAGGTACGAGGCTAAGGATTTCACGATCGAGTACGTTTCCTCCAAGGAGCAACAGGCGGACATATTCACGAAGCCTCTACCACGACTTAGATTCCAAAGTCATCGCGAGAATATTGGAATGTGTTTAAATGAAAATGCTGGTAACATCAGTACCATATCAGCAGTCTAAGAAGAGAGAGGAAAATGAAGTCAAAGTGGAAGTGTTAGAAGTATCATTGACTTCATTTATAGATTCCGACATCTCCTTCACTTGATTGCAGCGACATCTCGTGGATTGCGGCACCATTCACTTTACTCCTTACCGCGAGCACATGTTCACGTTCATAGCAATTATACTGTTACACTTTTTTCTTGTTCAATAAATCGCTTTATATTTAACTAATCCTGTGTTAAGAAGTTTTGGCCTACGCTAATTTTAATAAAATTAATTAAAGCCTACAAATTGCCGGATAACATAATAGCAAAGGATTTAATTGCAGGAGCGTGCCCTGAAGTGCCAAGCATTTTAAATGATTTTTACGTATCTTTATTAAGCGGTTCCAGTTATCAGCGCAAGCGCAGCTTAAACTGTCAGAGACTGCCCAAATCTTTCTGCAATGATGTAATTTATAGTGTTACGAACGGAATAGTGTTTGCAATGAATGAGAATAATAAATAATTTTAATAAAAAATTCTACTCATTTAGATTGTGCAATATATATGTAGATTTCAAATTGTTATTTATATTTTGTTATAAAAAAATAAAATGTAATAAGATAGATTATTTTAATGTAATAATAAATGCATTATTTTACTTGCTCGTTTTAAAGTTCACGTTGCAACTTTAGTTCTATCTACCAAGCCCTTGTTTACTTAATTCTTCTTATCGTCTTTTCTATCATGTTTCATGCATACATGAAAATTTATTAAAATTCTTAAGGGTGGGCACCGTCTAAAGTTGCTACGCTACAGCCATGATAGCCTCGAGCAGAGTTCTGCAACGTAGCCACAAGAAGGCTGAAAAGGATTTTTAACTCGTATTTGGAGAGAGTAATGCAGAAGAGACAAAGGTCTATTTTTCTACTCCGAGTTTTCCAGTTTCTTCACATGAGGCCTCCAAAGTCAGTTCGGAGTTGGCTCGTCGCTCCTGTATACCCTTAATTGTTTGAGTCCCAAGCAGCGCGATCGCGCTCTTTAGATTTTGTGTCGAAAAATCACAGTACTCATTTAGAGAAAGCGCAGTCGCGCTGCTTGGAACTCAAACGGTTAAACCAAGTGTTAAATTTTGAACATGCCCTTAGATTTAAGCGCTCTCTATCGTAGGATTGTATCAAATTAAAAATCTCTGAATGATATTTTAAAGTGGAGGCTCCAAGCTTCAATTTAATAGAAAAATCATCGCCTTACTCTTTATTGCTAAGTAATCAGTTTGGGCTTGGACAATTTTCAACACAATGGGCTTAGCTGGATAAGGGGATCAAATGTGCCCTTGAGCCGAATGAAGTGCCGTTTGCGCCATTCAATAGCTTATCAAAAAAGAAACATTAATTCCGAGTTTTAGCCCTACAACTCGGTGCCGTCTCAGCACTTGAACATGGGACAATTTCGTTTATTTACACTTTGTCATGTCTACCGTTACTGAAAATGTTTAAAAACGTATAATAGATATACTGTATGAAAGAGACATAAAAATTCGAAGCAAAAGTTACTTTTTCAAGCAAAAAAAGAAGTTTTTGATTTTTGTCACATTGACGTACCAATTCTAAAAATCTGAAAAAATTCATGATCAATCCTTGCAACAATACAAATCTATCATACAAATATGAATGTGATATCCCCCACGATTTCTATGTGAAAAAATTATTTTTAGCACTTTTTTATTTTTGACGGCTACATTTAACGCCTTGCGAAAAATCATCAAAAAACTGATTTTTCGAATTTTCCCGATTACTACCCCCCTGGTCGAGATATAGGGCTAAAACTTGGAGTGAATGTTTCTTTTTTAATAAGCTATCGAATGGCGCAAACGGCACTTCATTCGACTCAAGGGTACATTTGACCCCTTTATCCAGCTAGGCCCTTTCCTGACACCATAATTTTTGTTAGTAGTATATATGGACGCATCAACATATACTGAATTTTCTCGCTTTATTTCAATTTTCGGTTGAAAATTGTCAAAACTCACAGTTTTCTTAATTTTTAATCGTTTATCGGCTGTCAGTTCATCGTATATGGTTATAGCAGCGTCGATCGATTTCAATGAAACTTTGCACATGCATATAACATCTTTAAATCTACAAAAAGCATGTTTTAAATTTTTATTAGAAGTCGAATAAGAAACTTAAAAGTCATTTACTTTATCTTCTTCTTTAGTCCCACCTATAGCAATTCTTTTCAATTTTTTGTTATACATCATATAGTAAACAAGTCTCAGTTATTCAGATTTGTAATATATATAAATATTAATCGACCTTACTGTACATATAATATCATTAAATAATTTACATATACATTAATTATATTTTTACGTAGTCTGCAACGATAAATAACTTGTCATTCTCATTGATTTTATAAAGTTCGAAATCTTTTGAGGAAATGCCGAGAATTTAAACCAGTTCCATGCTTACATTTTTATACGTTTTAACATACAACCACAGTCTAATTAATTATCATATGCCTATGTGTGTACTTCATTAATATTCGGACCAAGATTTCAAAACGGAATAACTTTTTAATATTGGTCTATTTGTTGGGATTTATTTTTTTAGGTGTTTAGAATCTCACTTTCTTAAATAATGTACAGAGAACATTAGAAAAGTTACTATTAGCTAGAATCACGAGGAAAAAAGTAGGGGAAAATTTAAAACATGATTTTTGCATGTCTAAGCATGTATGCATGTACAAAATTTTATCAAAATCGGCTGACGTTACTATGGGCTACAAATGACTAAATATCGAAGATCGATACGGAAAATCACAGGTTTCGATAATTTTCGACAAATACCTGGAATAAATCAAAACATTTCCACATCTTTCAATACTTTATTTAATAGTGGACAATATTTGAGGATCGTATTCTAGGAGCCAAAATAAGACGAAAACCAAGAGTGATAAAATTACGGTTCGAACTTCGTTAATTAGTTATTAATAAATAAAAGTTGGGTGTTTTTGTGCCTGAATCAGGTAATTCGACTTGTATTGTCGTAGTTATAAGAAACTACTCACCCTGTGTGCTTCGAGGTAGAAAATATGTAAGAAAAATGTAGCCTGGCGTATAACCTGATGACTCGGTAAATCCACGAGAGCATGTCGAAATTCACTCTATGGGATTTTCGAGTTAAGAGGATATACACCATTTCGAAATGTCACAAACGTTTAACAGCGATGCACTTGTACTTGATAATTTTCATCGATAAACATACACGAACCACAATATTTATTATTCCTTGATTTTTTGTCTACAGTTTTTTCTAAACGTAACATACTGCAAATCAAAACAAAGCCCACTGAGAAACACATTCATCGTAATTGTTCATATGTATTAAAGTTGTACACATAAAGTTCATACAAACGTCGGTATTTTTTAAAGAATAGACATTAGTATAGTTCACATAATTTCGATTTATTTATCTCCATTAGTTTCGAGTTTATTTGGATACTTGGCAAATATTCGCAAACAAGTAGAAATGTAACTGCTGGACTACAACAATGTAACTGTTTCGATATTGTTTGGTCTTCGTTGATTTCCATCTACCGTCGGAGTTCATCGAAGATCAATCGCTAAAGGATCGTTGCGTGAAGCGAAATAATCGTGGCCGAGACTCAAAATCGAAACGAATGAAAATATTTGTTTCCTTAAATTTCCTCATCCTTGGAAATTATAAATTAGTGGAAGTAGTAAACTCGAATTATATGAATTGTGTGAATTTGTAATCTAAATCAATGCCCTTAGGTGAACATTTACTAGTTTAATACACATAGAATGTTCACGATTGCAGTGCACGCATTTTTCCAATGAACTATTTTTATTCGCAGTGAATATGTTATGTTTAGTGGATGCTGGAAACGAAATAATCACTCATGAGATAACAAATGTGGTTGTTTGCGTGCATTTCTCGTTAAACAAGTGGTTTCGTCTTTATACGTTTATGACATTTCAAAAAGGCATATACTCTCTTAACTCGAAAATCCCATCGAGCGAATTTCGACATGCTCTTGTGGAGTAATTAGATTGTACGCCTGGCTACAAGTTTTATATATTTTTTGCATCGAAGCACACAGAGTGAGTACATCATTTTCTTATAGCTACGGGCCTGTTTCGACGTATCGACGTGTATCGATCGACGGCGATCAGTTGTCAGTCATACGACGACGCAAGTCAAATTGCCTGATCCAGGTGCAAAAACGCCCAATTTTTATTTATTAGTAACTAATTACTGAAGCTCAAAATGTAATTTGATCATTCTTGATTTTCGTCTTACTTTGGCTCCTAGAATACGATCCTCAAATATTGACCACTAGTAGGTTTATACACTGTATATAACTTACTTATTACAGCTAACCAAAACGATTCCTGACCCACTCGGCATGAATACATGAAGAAATTAAATTTTCATTATGCAGTGTAAGTTCTATGAATATTATATGTATATGTATATATTGTTTGCTCAACATTGATAGCAGTTTCACCACAATCTTATACACCATTAAGATCATGAGCTTGACAGTTAAATATCTTGAACTTCGAACTAACAGTGAAATAAAGTGCCAGGTAGCAAGCTTCTAACTGTGCTTTCAATTCGAATTTTACTTAGGTTTACCTTAGAGCATATACTACTGGAGGCAGCATGCCGTGCTCGGAAAGTATGGTCAGTGTCATTAGATCTGACTAGATCTAAGGGTACATGCTATCTCTCTCACACACATCACTCACATAGCCAATCGCGTACGGAGTGAGAGAGATAGCATGTACCCTTAGATCTAGTGAAACTGACCACACTTTCCGAGTACGGCATGCTGCCTCCAGTAGTATATACTCTATATAACAGGTTTAAGTATTGGAGAGAATATATAAGAGGTTTACCGAGTTCAAATATTGTTACACGAATTATTTTATTCTATCTCATACCATTGTGTGATTGTCTCGTCAGGATTTGAAATTTGAAGCTTAGTTAAAAGTTTAACATACTTATATCAAGATTGGAGATATAGAATAGATTTTTGTAAACATTGGTAAATAAGTTCGACTATTTGGAAAAGCCTAAAATTGTTTGTATCTCGCAAACTGTCAATATTGAACGGGCGAGAGAAATTTATAGCATGGCATTTATACTGTAAATTTATAATGAATTTCAGATGTACGCAAGCGACTTGGGAATCGTTTTGAGTAGTTGGACTATAGATTGTAATATGTTTTAGATTTTCGTTAGTCACCCAAATAAAAAATTTAGAAATCATGTTCTCTACTTATTCTTTCTAATATAATTTAGCCAATAGTAATTGTTTTTAATCTTCGTTTCATACATTACTTAGAACACTGGTTTTTCTTCATGTAAACAAAATTTAAATTGAATGATTCAATATCGAAAAAGTTATTCTGTTTTGAAGTGTTCAGAATACTCCGATAACGGCGCGATAAGGCAGAATGTCAATGTTACCCAAAAAATTTGCCAAAGATATGGGTTTACGAAACTATACTTTTCTTCGTCACATGATACGATTTTTAGGTCATTGCGTATCTCTCTGAAAACACAAATGTTAAATCTGGCATGCTCGTATTCTAGTCTTGATTTTATTCAGAACATCTCTTTTGTATATAAAATTGCTTATAAACGAAGGCAGTTATGATTTTTCATCTATTTTGTAACATATTAATAAATATCAGCATACTCTGATTAAATAATAACCAGAACTTGCCAAGTTTGGACACACAGGTACCTAATGACTCACAAATCTTGTCATATAAAGACGATAAATGTAGTTCCGTAAACCCATATATTGCACTATTTTTGCCTTGTCATCGATAAAACAGAGAAACAAGCATCAGAGTTTTACCAACAAACATTAGAAAAGACAGGTGACCCTAGCCCCTTAATGAGGGCCATTGTAGTGCCTCGAAATTCATTCCTCTTTATTCGAAGAACTATCATCTTCTTTCGGCTTCTGTGAACTTTCTCCAAGTTTCAAGTTCGGCGAGCTTCTCGTATATGATAACGGCATTTCAAATACAGATTCATTATCATTTGTCAATATTTTCTTGTCCTTCATAGCTTTCCATTGAATACCCTTTTTCTTCTTAGGCACCGGCCTAGGTTTCTTCACTAAAAACTTTGGACTTTTGCTTCGTGGCACCGACGTCTTCGTTTTCGTCTCTGGTATTGTTAAATGAGACGTATGAAGGTACTGTGACTGGCATATATCCGAATGAGGGCTATCAGTTACATCATCTAGAGACGATGGGACTTGAAACTCGAACTGTTTTTCCGTTTCCGGCGAGTCTAAATCGATCATTTCGAATACTGGCTGCGCACCCTTCGAATTATAGTTCTTCCACGGATTTAAGTCGCCAACGTATACCGTAGGCGTGTCAATAAATTGTCTCGTAGGTTTCGATAGACTGGATGTACTCGACGATGGCTGCACGACCACCTTTGGGCTTCTTGTTATCGCGAAGAACTGTTTTCTACCCGATTCACTTCGCGATATCGAGTGCATCCCGAATTTTTTCATATTCTCGATTAGTTGATTCGGTCGTTGCTCCGTTTCTCCGGTTTCTTGAATTCGTATCTGAACTGTATCAGGAGACGATCGGTCAGTAGTCGTAACTGACTGAAGGCGCGGGCTGATCTGGCTGAAACAAACGAGTCTAACTTAACAAACGTTCCTTTTGCGATTCTTATTAATATACTGCGGATTTTATGCATTTATAGAAGAATTTATTATACGTAGTACACACAGATTGCATTTAATATATAAAAATATACGGAATATCAAAAGCCGAGTGCAAACTGTAATACTTAAGTAATCAAAGAAATTGCTATTGTAAGATACATTTTTAAAGTTAGTATTGTGGCGTCTGGCAACGGCCACGCTTTCTTTCTTCATTCCCTTATCTATGTTTAGAATTCATTTCCGCTGGTCTACGTGATCTATCGAACGTTCGTTTTTTTTCCTTCTCTCTTAATCTTTACTATCGTTATCTCCTGTTTCTTTTCTTTTCATCTCTGGTACGACTGTCGATTTTGCCAGCCTGGCCAGTCGGATCCGAACAGAGCACCGAGCCACACGAATAAAACGCACAGCTAGACATCAAAACTGGAATTTATTAACCCATCTCCTCACTGAATCCTCATAGTATCATAAATATTTCGTTCGGCATAAAAATCCGCAAATTATCCACTTAATTGAAAAATCCATTTATTAGTTGAAAAGTTAAGAAAGTGTAAGTCATTTTTCAGAATGGCAAGAATCTGGAAATGGTACAGCTGTTCTGTTAACATGCCTATAACTTGAGACAATGATCCTAAATCCGTTTATAATTATATTAGTTTCTCGTATGGATAGAAGACCTGTAAATAGTAACAAATCTGTTTTGCTTTTTCAATGCTCGATTAACATGTTTGATTTGGTGAGGATATTGCCTTTGGCTATATACCTCTGCCTAGAAATAAATGTTAATGCTCGTTCCTGGCTCCCATATAATCGATCAATCTTTCCATGGAAATAATAACTGCAACGGTTTTCTTGTTCACTTGCCAATCGTTGTCAATCGCTTTGTACGTTCAGGCACACATAAAAATACGTTAAATATTTCGGCGAATCCTTCGTGGTTAGTCGAACTCATAGAACTTATCATGATTAAATACTAACAAATTTTCCATAAATCCCCAAAAATTAGTTGAAGAACTGAATCCTACATGAATATTTTTTTACATTTCAAGTACATTTTTAATACGAAGTATAAAGGATCATACACATTGTATAGGAATTCAAATAATTCTATCAGCGTAGTTTGACAACGCTTAAAAAACACGTATTTTGTAGTCTTATGCACAAAATTTTATTGGAAAGAAGAAACTTTTCGTGATTTGTAGGTGATCATTTCTTGGAGGAATTTATTATTATTGCGACTAGTTTCCCAGAAAATCGAACAATTACTTTCAAGGTAATTTGAAAACGTATGAAAAACATGAACCAAGGCTTCTAATAAAGAAATAAGGTAAAATAAGAAAATGATCAAACACCTAAATTAATTCATTATTCTGTTATTAAGCCAATAAAAGCGAATAACTCTTTAATTCTTTATTTAGTTTTTTATCTGTACATAAATGCCTTGGAGGAAGCTGAGTTCCACTTGTTTCTTAATTTGAAAATGCGTGCTTCTTTATACTTCACTGCAAAAATAAAAACCAATATTAATGTAGGATTGAGTTCTACGACTGATCTTTGGGCAATTATACGACATCTGATGGTAATCGAGCATTGAGAACATAAGACATAGGTTTATTGCTATATTCAAATGTTTTTCCCCTAAGGAAAACTAAAACATTCAAAAACAAGTCGAGAATCCTCGTGATAAACTGTACATTCTAGTGTTATCATTTTCAGAAATGAGTTAGGACTTTACGTTTTCTTTGAACGCATTAACATTTGTAATTGAAAGATACAATGCAAATTACAACTTGTCCAAGAAGTGAATTACATCTTATGGCTTTTACGCCCTAAATTGTTACAACTTGAAAGAATGAAATAATTTAATAATAATATTACCGTCTCTCGCAGAATGGGCTATCATTCCCGTGGCCTAAACTTAATGTGGATGAATGACGCGAGGGCTTTCCTTCCTCCTCGTCCTCCTCCATAACATCCGGTAGAAACATGGTTTGCTTCTCTTCAGGAACTCTAAAAATATTAATAGACAAATGAAAAATCAGCTTTAACGATCACTTCACTAATATTTGACTAATTAAGAATTAAAATTAATTCGAATCGATTGAATTTTAATTTTTAATTAAAAAATAATTGTTGAGATAAATAATAATTGAGAAATATAAAGAAATTTAATCGTTAGTTGTTAATGCGGCAATTACAAAATTCGCAGCCCTGGATTATACACAGAAACTGTTGGAAGAATACTAACGTCATATTTGCCACGCTACCGCGATACGTCTTTTTCTTGTAAGCAGCAGCTGCCTCCGTATACGGTAGAATCAAATTCTCAGCATCAAAGTAGATATCCTTTACCAGCGGTGGACACCGATTCATAAGTGTATCGACTCCGAGATATGATACCTAAAATAAAATATGAAATCAGATCATAGAACGTTTAGAACTAATAAATGTTTAGTCACCTTCGTGTGGCGATCAATTATCCAGTTCAATTCAAAGTCTTCGTCATCGTCACCAAAGGGATTAATTAATTGTTCGGCTACCTTAACACATAATTAATGTCCTGATTTATTACACATACATTATCGTTGTTTTCTATCAGGTCTTTAAGTATCCTGTTAGCTAAGCCTGCAGAGTCAGATTCGATCAATTGCTATTAGCAAAATGTATGCACATTGGCATCAGATTGACAGGAGGGACTACAGGTTTGAAACAGGATCTACACTGTAAATAACATATACGCAAATCAACATCAGATTGGCATCAAGTGCCGATAGAGATCTATTTTCAAATCCGTAGTCATCTGTGTGTGCATTTAGCTTCCATTTTGGAAGCAGTACCCGGTGTCAGACTCTTGAAGCAAAAAAGTGAACTGGACCATGAAGATCATTGCAGCCAATCTGCTTCAATAGCCTGATACCAGGCACTGCTTCCAAAATGGAAGCTAAGTGCAGACACAGGTGACTACATTTTGTTAACAGGAAAGTAAGATTTACGTATTAGCAATATTTATACATATGGGCACTGCGGGGCAGAGCTACTTCAGATCCGGGTATCAGTATCATAACAAATTAGGAAAATGAGGGCAGGTAAAGAAGAAGGGAGAAAACAGAGGATGGGTATATGAGAAGAGTTGAGGTAGTAGATTTAAGGAAGAGGATAGAGTAGGAAATCAAAGGGGGAGGCTAAAGGATAGGTAATGGAAATTAAAAGAGGCAGGGTGGAAACAGTAAAAAGCGTTGTTGTTACAGTTTTTATATTCTTTATAGAGTGTTGAAATTTAGATCTTGTTTATATTTTTGTTAACTTTACTATACAAGTCTATGGAGGTATGCGGGATTAGGATGTGGAAGGATGAGCGGAGTTAAGAAGGGGTACGTAAATCAAGTCCGTTTCCAAGTCTTACGTGGCTGCAGGGTTGCAGATAATTTAATTTCCACATTAATAATGAACGATCTTGATCGACAATTGAAGTATTCTTTAATTCAGAATTAAAATTCAATCACTACTTCGAATTTCTTCCAATTAAACTAATTAAATAACTGTAATTCTTAATTAGTCAATTCCGAATAAAAAGCAAAACGTTAATTGCCAATTGGTGTTCAACTGAGTTAAAGATTTAATCATTTATCTGAATCCCTATGTGACTGAAATAAAGATTTTATTCATATAAAAAAATATATATATGAAATATACATATATAAAAAGTACCTTTAGTAAACCCATGAAAAAGAAGAATTGCAAGATTGTGAATACAGGTATGTAAATGTCGACCTGCAATTGGAATTGCTTTTCTTTACCGTCGATGTACTGCCGTGCCATTAACGCTACCAGAAAGAAACTGTAAGTTGCAAGCGTGACCACTTGCGTATAAACTAATGGAATCGATATCCAATCGTAGCTCCATAGCATGCCGCATTTTGTACGAAAATCACTAAATTCCTATATAGATAATGATCATGCATTAAATACTATGTACAGAGCTTCTCGTATTAAACACAATATGATATGAACCTCCATAATTAGTTTTAATCCCTGAGGGTCAGGAATCCGTTGATTTTTACGAGCCTCTTTTAAAAGATTTATGAACCACGTACAAGGTATCCAATATGTGTTGAACTCTGAACTGGGTACTGCTAAAAACAAATCCAACTCCAGCTCAGTCATAAAACCTAAAGAAAGATTTATATTAATAAGGATATTTAAGAATACCTCCTTTAAAATTATTATAAAGTTTTGAAAGTTTTTAATCATTTGGTCATGCATATTTGAAGGGCGAAAAATCATAATGATCTAAGCTCATATTTTAAGAAGCAATGGTTTTACTGCAGGTGGTATAATGAACTCTTAAAACAAAAAATAGTGAGAAACACTAACTGAGTACTGGTAATAATTACTGGTAAATTAAATAAACCTAGGACCTATTCGCATTGCCAGTTGTCCTAAGTGACATTCACGGCTATATACAATAGCCCCCATTAATATTCGGACACATTTCAAAATAACTTCTTCAACATTGGACCACACAGTTTAATTTTCTGCGGGACGTTAGAAGGCTCAATTTACTTCAGTTTTAATGTAATGTGTAACAAAAAATAAAAATATTGTTATTCGTCGAAGTCTTGAATAAAAAACATCTTTATTAGGGTCTCTAATAAAAATTTGGACCATTCTGTTCGTAGATCTAAGTTATATACTTGTATAAAGTTTCATAAAAATCAGTTAATGTTGCTATGAATTGCAAGCGATTAGAAATTTAAAGATCGCAGTTTTCCTCGATTTTCGGCATATAACTGAGATAAATTGAAGAATCTCTACATATTTCGATGTTTTTAATTTTTTTTATGGTTACACCGATTTTTAAGGAACTTTGTATATGTATATAGTTTACTTAGATCTACATGATGTTTCAAATTTTTATTGTAAAAAGTTAAGAATCATGCTCTTTTCTTTTCTTTTCGAAACTTTGACGAATCTTTATCAATTTTTCGTTACACATTATATAGTAAATCTGACTTAAGGAGCCTACCCAG